GTATAAGTTTTTGAAGTAGTTTATTTACAGTAGTAGTCATAGTAGAAGTGGTCATAGTATTAGTAGCAGCCGCAACTGCCATTGGTGTAGTAGTATTCCACATAGTAGCCATCTGACTAAAACTCATCACAAGCAAAACATGTTAAAGTAGAAAGTAGTAGTAGTCATAGTATTAGAAGCTGAAGTGATCGCAGTGGTCTGTCACTTTGTTTAGTCAGTTACAGTAAATTAAGTCACTGAATTGGACATAGAAGTAAGATCATGCAGCAAAACTGATGTTAGTAGTCGCAGCAGTAGTTGTACAATAGTTGTATAAGAAGTAGCAGCTGTAGTAGTTGTAGTTGGTTCTAAAGCAGTAGTGAAAGTGGAATGGGTCATTGTAGTGTCACCTGTAGTTGTAGTCATAATGGTTGCAGTGGAAATTACAATAGTTGAGTTTGCTGAAGAAGTCGTAGCAGTAGTAGAGGTGTGCTAGTAATAGGAGTAGTAGAAGCAGTGTTAGTTCTAGTTAGCTCAAAGTGTCATAATAGCTGTACTTGTAGTTTTTATATTACTAGGAGTAGTATTAGTAACATTAGTATACTAGTATTTACAGTGTAGTCAATCATGGCTGCTGTTACAGATGTTGCCGTATTAGTATTGATGGTAGTAGTCAAAGTAATATATGTTGGAGTATTAGTAACACAAGTTGAAATAGCAAAAGTATTAGTCACAGTATTAGCGGTACCATTAGTACCAGTAGTGGAAGCCATGTTTGTAGTAGCAGCAGTAGTAGTCATAGTTGTAGTCATCAAAGCAGAAGTACTTGTGGTCATAGTACTCAAAGTAACAGTAGTAGTAGCAATGGTAGTTTTTGATGCAGTTGTAATAATTCCACAAAAGCCAATAAGATAGTAGTTGCCTTAATAAAGCAGTAGTAGACGTTGAGGTAGGCATCATTGAGTTAGTATTTACATTATTCTAGTTGTAACAATAATAATACTTTGAGTTGTCAGTATTTGAGTAGAAGTCATGTTTGTAATAACATAGTAATAGCAGTGGTTTTCAAAATTACTGTAATAGAAAAATGTTCTTAGTAGTAGTTTGTAGTAGTGGTTGATATAACGGTTACACATGACACAAATGTCATAGTCTTCGCCGCTATTTCTGTAGAGTATGTAGTTATAGTAAAGTCACGGTAGTAGGTTAAAGTAGAAGTGGTCATATATGTAGTTTTAGTAGTAGTCGTCGTCATTAGGAGAAGTTGCATTAAATATAAGAGTGACCTGGTTGACTCCATGTCTCTCTCTTCCCAGAATCCCGAGCTGTTTTATTCCTAGACCATGACCTTCCTTTTGTCTGTGATGGCTGAAGTGAGTTCGATATGGGACATCCCCTCTGGCCGGGTAGTTCTCCCACATAATCCCACTTCGAGGGTCCGGAGTGTACTCCTCAAAGTGTGGCATTTCAGTTTCTGTGATGAAGGTGGGGTTTTGGACAGTATGGTGTTTCTCATCATCCTCAACAATAAGATCATCTGGATTACACCTGCCTGGAAGACAGATAAGTACACAGGTTATATTTAAGTAATCTGACTTTTTCCTACATCCAGAAGGGTTTTTACCATTTCTGGGGTCAATAATCTCCACCGTGGCCTTGTTTCTTTGTCCCAACACAGCATTTTTAGGAGCTTTCAAAATGACGTCAAATTTTTCATGGTTCTCTTCCAGTCCATCGTCTTTGAGGAAAATGTTCCAGATTTTGCTGTGGACTCCTAAACTCAGAGAGGATGCACAAATAAAAAGGCACAGTTGTGGCCTACTGAGATTTACAGGTGAGATTTTACAGCAAAACTTACTTTGTCCAAACTAGAGGTGTACAACTGCTCAGAGGGAGCAACAGTGAGTTTGTTCACTTTAGGTTTGTGTGCACTTGTATGGGTCACTCCCTACCTGGTCATAATATCACTTTCAGTAAATTTTGAGCTTCCTTAAGATAATAGGTTTTTTGTGTTCCTTTGCAGACAACAGGTTCTCTGTAGAGCCCAAAAATGTGTGTTTTGAGGTTCTCTGCGACTAAAATGACCACAGAAATGAATGAGAATAGCTGGTGACCTGCAATTTCTTCGGCCCAATGTTACTTGGAATAGACACCAACTACGACAAAAACTACAATAACTATAATAAAGATAAAATGTCTTGAGCCAATGTGACTAAAAGTGGATGAATGATCAAAGATGTAAAATGTTTCTTCTACATTCAGAAATAAGGAGGAGAAAATGGTCACCTGGATCAAACTGTATGAGACTGGCAGAGCTGTGAGTGAAGTCTCTGCCCATTCTGGCTGTTCCATCTTCCACCTGTTTCAAACATTGCAAGGTTATCATGTTTAAACCATTTGTATTTCAGATTCTGCTGGTGTTTTGCACCTGTATGCCGATAAAAGCTGGATCTTGGCTGTTTCCAGTGCGCTCCACTAGCACTGCTAGACTTCCTGCATTCTCACAGACCCGGTAACAGGAAGCCGAGAGCTCCACACGAGACCAACGGAGCTCTAACCTGTGACAAAATGCCTTTTGATAATTAAAATACAACCAACCACATTTTCTAAACAACTGGATTGAGCGTTAGAATTTGTACACTTCAGGGAGCATGGTGTTTCCAGCTGGGTCAGTTACTTGAAACTCAAAACTGTCTGCAGTTACGTCCAGATCCAAAGGAATGACATAATACACTGCCTTCTGGTCTAGGTCCTTCTGGGTGAAGCGCCCTTTAATATATGCACCTAATATAGAGGAAAAAACCTTATAATACATTATACAGATTTTTTTAGAAAAAAACGCTATTGTCCATATTCTTACCAGTAATGCCATTTTCTAGAAAACCAAAGTGTGGAGCTCTGGTGATGGTGAATTCGAGAGTGTCAGGAGGACTGTCTGGATCTGAGGCCTGCAGATGCTTGGAAGTGATGTATATGACCTGCTTGCCATCTGCAAGATTGTGCACTGTGCTGGGAATGCCCTTGTGTGCTAAACTGGGTGGTGTCTTGTCCAGTATTTCAATCTGTGAAAACAAAGATTAAGCTTCTTCAAACAGCATACTGCATTCAAGCTGTTACACCACTAGGGGGAGGTATAACATTTCCACAAAAATTAAATTTACAGCCACATTCGATTATTTTAACGTAAATCCATAATTAAGGTATTTGTTTGTTTTACTTTAGCTCTGTTTATAGAGCATGGTGCCAGCACGGCTAGGGGTTTAGGGTTGGTTCCCAGGAAAATTATAACTTGTCAAAATGTCCAGCAAGTGTAAAAAAGTATTTTTGGCGTTGATATAAAACTGAAGTATTTTAAATAACTCAACCACATTTAAGCAAACGTGCATTTTCCGTGAGCTTAATATGTGGAGAATGATGCTAGCTCGACTAATGTTAGCATTTTGAGTTTGCTTTCTAAGATTAGATTTGTGATAAAATGCTCCGTGTAAAACTTGTTATAAATTATTTTAAATCCACATTTGATGTATTTTTATAATATAACCCTCCCATCTTAGCTTCCTTTTAACTCAATAGCTTAACAATACTGCTAGGTACTATGCTAGCAAACTACGGTTTTCGGCCAATTTCTATTCCCAAGCAAAAGCAAAAAAAAAATTCGTTTAAGTATATTCTAATACAAATCTATATTTAAAATATACTTTATAACTTTTATAATGTAACGTAACTTAACCAAGCTACTTTTTACTTCAATCTGTAATGGTTCATGAATACTGCTAATGTTACATGCTAGCTAGGCTAATGTTTTATTTTCATTCAAGTATAGATAAGAGTAATAAAATGCCTTGCAACCTCTCCAGGGCTTGTCCACGGCTGTTAGACTCTCATTGGGAAATATAAATAAACAGAAAATTGAATAGATTACCGGTATTTAATTTTATTTATCGCATGTTGACAATTTCATTAGTTCAAAATATTTAATAATTGCTTATTTTAGATATATAAATATATATATTATGACGCATATAAATAGATAATTGAACAATAAACGCAAGTAGTGGAAATAACAACAAAAATATCTAAAATTGTAGTTTCACTGTTGGCAATGTAAAGGTCCATTAAGATGGCTTTCAGATTGGCAGCATCTCTAACATTTAAAACGCAGTTAACAATAAACTGAGTAAATCAAAGCATCTATGTTTGAATAATTTGTGTTGTTCTGTCATTTGTTCTGAGGAGGACGGAACAGATTTGGGGAGGAACTTATTATTTATGAACACCTGCTCCTGGGGGTCTCATGTTTGTGCGGCCTCGTGACGCACTTTTGGCTCGAGTTAGCAAAGTTTTCGGCTGATTCACCTATGTTTGTGGCAGGGGACTTTTGTCTCTCTCTGCAGCACTGGGGTGGATGTGCTGGCCAGCGCGTTTGCCGCCTCGTTGACCACTTCAACTGAATATTAAATTGGGAGTCGAGTCTCGAGAGAGTCCCTCCATGACACGGTGAGTGGCACCGGATCTGCTCCAGCACCTGGCCCGCAAAACCTCTCTGTTTAACATGCAATTCAACAGGGAGTGCTTTGTAAGCCTACAACTCTCCTCCTGGTCTCAGTGGTTTGTGTGCAATTGGTTTATCTGACTGTTTTGTTAACTAAATGAAAGACTTAATTAATTTCACCGGAAAATTTTGAAGCACTTTTATTTTTGTACAGGAAATGCCAATAAACCCTGTTAAAGAACAAATGTCCAAATAATATTGAATTAGCCTAATGCAATCTCAAAATGTGCATTTACATTATTCTACACTTGATGTTGTTTAAATATTTTTCTCTAATACAATCTTAGCTAGTTTAAAGCTCCGGTCATGCTTTTCCAAAATTAAGGTAAGCCAGCTGAATCACATCTGGAATCCAGTCTATTAATTTAATTTAGTTATAACTTGCTCATTCCAGGATCTACAAAGGATTGTGGTAAATCAAGTGTCAAATATAGATATTTATATACAAGTGTATATGCATATTTTTTCAGCTTTCCTGTGGCTCAACTGGTAGTGCATTGCACTAACAATGCGCAGGTTGTGAATTCAAATCCCAAGGAAAGCAGGAACTGAGGAAAAGTGTTCATTCAATCTTATGTTAGTCACTTTGGAAAAAAGCATCTGCCAAATGCATAAATGTAAATGTTCATTCCTTCTTCCTTTTCAGTGTCACAGGGTTCTGCTGATAGCATGTCTTGCAAATAGTGGGGGTACACCCTAAACAAGTCGCCAGTCCATCGCAGGGCATCACACACATTGAATCCAAAGGGAAATTTAGAGAATACAATAAAGCTGAATCATGTTTTGTCTTGGGGAAACCAGAGTACCCGGTGGAAACCCATACAAGCACCGTTAGAACATGCAAAATCAAGGCCACCAGCTTACTTTGAACCAGTAGCCTTCTCATTGAAGTGCTGCCGTGCTTCCCACTGCCACCCGCACATGGATGGGTAGCACTGCTGCTTCTCATATGTAGGTTGCCTCACTGAGAAGAGTTGCATGTTTTAATTGTGCTTGTGTGTGTTTTTCCTGAGTACTTTTTTTTTTCTGGCAAGCCAAAAATATGCTTAATTAAATAGTGCCGTACTGCGAAGGCCTGGTGACCTGTTCATAGTGTACCGTGACTTTCACCCAATGTGAGCTGGAGATTAGCACCTAGAGAACCATGACAGGGTATAAAATAATAAACAATGCTCATTAATTGTTCAATGAATTATGATTTGTTTTACATTAATTGACTTGAAACCAAAATACCTACCTGCATGATAAAAACAGCAGGGTCAAGCTTCAGCTGTCCATACTCCAGAAAACCTTTGTTTGTTCCATCGGTCGGCTGAAAGGTGAAGCGGTCAATCCTAGCCTGTCCTTTCAGATGATGGTAAGCGAGATCCATATTGGCGATGTCCAGTTGTGTAAACCGAGGCTTAGAAAGAGGTGATCCTTTTAAGAGCAATTTTCCATACTTTGGGCTTTGAATGACAATGTAGGTAAGATTCTCCAGAGCTGTATCAGGATCAGTCAATGTCAGTTCAGCAGGGGAAATGGTCTTTATTGTCCCCTCAATGAGCTCAAGGCCTTTGTTGGCGATCAGTGTTGGTGGGATACGGTCACGGTGTTCTACAGTGAAATGAAGGGAACCACTTCTGGATGTCACACCATTGGTAACAGCAAAGCTGTTTGACAGAAAACATTTTGTGTCAGAACTTTAAGTAGATCTCTTTCTCCCAATCGTTTTGAGTTAAATTTTAAAACACTAGCAGCCACAGCAGTCTCGCTTTTGTAAAGTCTTGTCAGTTTTACACATACTGAGATACTATCATCACCCAACAACATGGTTGGTGAGTTGGAGCAGAAAGACAGGACAGGGAGGGGTGTGAGCCAAGCCCGGTCCCTATTCCACCCTCTGCCAAGGCAATCTGCCTCCCAACACATTTGCCCTGAAGCTGATAATTGCCAGCCATGGTAAACAACACGACTGCCACCTCGCACTGCACTCGCAACCAAATGTGCAGGTCCACTCTCACAGCCAAACTGGTGCAACATCTGGCATTGCCATTGTCCCATATTTGCTTGGTAATTTTGTGCCTGGGGATCCCAGTCTCTGACTACATCTCTTAGAGCCATATAACGAATCCCAGCCTGCCATATTACTCTCTTAATAATGGCCATTTATCATCAGCTGTCATGGGAGAGCACAGTAAGACACAAGGCTTTAAGAAAAAAAGAGCTTCCCTGTCTCTTTTGGCCCCTGCTGTTGGTGTGGCGTTTGACACACAGGTGTTTGCTCAGGTGTCTCTCCTGATCAGGAAGACCGGCTGTCGGTAAAGCTGCCTCTTTTCCTCATATTGAACGGAATACAAACTGTGAAGGCAGTCTAACACAAACAATAAAAATGTCGCCAGTCTCTTGTGATTGTATCAGAGTTCCTAATTGAAAGTACTTGGATCGATATGACTAAAAGTAGTATCCATGTGCTCTGATCGGACCATGTTTCATCCCCATGCTGTGCTGACAACACTTTGGCACGGATTATCCTGTACCCTCTCAGAAGGGGCGCTTCCACGTCAGGCTTGGCTCGTAATGCTTTGTTTGCTCTCAAATGACCCAGTGAGGAAACCAAGCCAGAGTTTTGGGTGTCAAAGATTCACACAAGAATGGCAGCACAGGTCAACCGTTGGCTCTGACCGAAGTCAGCTGCTGCCAAATTGGCTGGAAACCCATGCAAACAAAGCAAAAATGATTCCTCTCATTGCGGCTGTTGTTTGCCTTGATATAACTCTAATTGTGTTATGATGAAGCTATAAATGAACATGAAACTTTGGAACACAAAACGCGACGACAATGGGGAGTTGGAAACAAAAGGTTGTTTTAAGAGCTCTTTAAGAGAAATCTATCGTAATTCAAAAAGAACAATGAAAATCACTGACCTGAAAGAATCACGGTCAGCAAAACGGCTGTTATCATGAGTGTAGCACACACGGTTGGCAGCTACATCCATTTGAGAGAAAGAGAAGATTGGAACTCCGGGGATTTGGACCATGTGCAGGTGACCATGTTGAGGTGCGACTGATACTGTGTATATTAGCTCATCTGCCTTTCCTCCACTGTCTGTGGCCATCAGAACATCAGTGGTGAGTATGACCCTCTCTCCTTCCATCAAGTTCACGGGATTGGTGATGAGAATAATTTCCCCTGTACGTGATAAGAAAGCCAAAGATGAAACAGGTAAGTCTTCACACTAGGAATGACTATTCCTCGGTTGCTGGATTGTGCTCACACTGCACCTTCTGATCAATCAATCAATACAAATGCTTATTTACATACACCAAGATGGTGAAAGAGGATGAAGTACCAACTTGTGTTCAATAAAGTTTGTGACTTGGAGTTGATTACTTAAGAAAAGCATTCTTAACAGCGAATGTACTTATGCTCAGATGAATTATGCCCATGTCACATAAGGCACACACCGGCAATTGTCTCTAGAAACCTAAAGATTTTGCAAAAATTAACCTCTCCCAAGGTCAGGTGTGCTCAGATTCTGGAGCCCGGTGTAAAAGCACCTTACAGATCTCCACACACATTGGAAAAAAAGTTGAAAAAAAGTTCAGAACTGCTAAGTTTCAATGTTCTTTAGGGAGACTAGTTCTCAGCAAACATGGCCAAGACGTCAACGTGAAGAGACAGATTTGGTCAGAAACCGGTAATGTCCATTCAGCCAAAACATGTGCTTCTAGAAATGCCATACAGATGCAATGAATAGTTGTTATTTTAGAGTTAAGGTTCATTTGCTGTCAATTAGAAGAAGTCTACAGTTCATGTCTTCTGCGTGCATTGGGCACATGCACTGTGGACGCAGCGAAAAGACCCTTGGGTATCAGGCGTGCTAACAAAATAGGGCATGAATTTCAGATTGGAGTTCGGAGACCTTCAGTCTAAAGCAAGTTCTGTGCATGCTTACTGTGATTGTGAGAAATGTGTCTGTGATGGGTGGGACAGGACTGGGATCTAGACCCAGAACTACAGATGTTTGGTTAATTATTCATGCTGGGCATTTAAAGGTGGCCAATCCTTTGTGGCAGAACATTCTCACCTCTGTTCCTCCAGGATGAGCCAGAATGAAGCCAAGAGAACAATGACTGCCATGCTTCCATGTTCACCCAACTGGCAAAGCCAAGGTGACCATGGGGGAATTCCATTATTTAATTATGCATGCACTGATTTACTCTGTAAACAACGTTGTTTTTCTCAGACTTTGATTGACAACGGGAGTAAATGCTGAGAAAATAAACAAATAAACATAAAACTTCGTAAAACGTGTTTTCAGATTTTAGGTTTTAACCAAGCCACAACCTCACACTTTCCCTTTTGGATGTGTAATAGCTCCTGAGGCTGGTGTCAGAAGTTAATATTAGTTCGAACAACAGCGAGGTTTACGCCTTAAACTTTCAGCCATTGAGGCATCTTTGCTATCTCTGTGTACCCATTGCCAATTTCTCTGTGTACCCATTGCCGATTATCCAGTGGTGATGCGCATCCGTGGCTGGCGAGTCTCCAAACCCTTTACCAGAAACCTATAGGTGACGTCATGAACACTTTTTCTACAATAAAGTGTTTATACAAATGCACCTTTTTGAACTGTGCGGACAGAGATGTAGAAACTCTGTGGAGGTGTGGTGTTGTCCCCGTCACTGAGCACAAAGTTAATCTTGTCGTGACCTTTGAAGCCATTAACTGTAGTATGAGAATACCATAGACGATTCATTTCCACATCTTCCTGGGTAAAGTTTTGACCCGGCATCAGATCAATCCACCCTGATTCTGTCTGTGGGGAAATCACATTCAATATCATGCATTGTTATCGTAGAAAATATCTTATTTTAAATAATTCTCTTTGCCAACCCTGAGCTGAAGGAGGCCAAATCTGGGACCTGCATTGAGGATGTAGATAAGATGGTGGTTTGGAGTGTCATGATCTCCTGCCTCCAGCACAACACTGGAGATGACTCTCTTCTCCAGAGTCTCAACCTCAATGCCTGCATTTCTGCGAACAAAGGCAGAAATGATTTGGAGGCTAGCAGTAGTTGTGCCAAAACGCCATGTTAAAATATGGAATCCTAAATAAATAAATAGAGAAACAGCTGTTTTTTTAGAAGGAAACAATGCAGGAAGGGCCATCCTGTGACCGGAATCCACAAGGACTCTAAAACAAGCATGGTGGCATCTGCCAAAAAGACGCATTACTTCTGCTGTTGTGGAGTTTACATGCACACCCTCAGATCTTGCTGATCTTGGATGGAATAAAAATGAGCAATTTACTCAAGTATGTAACTTTATTCCCAGATACTCAGTCAGGGAGACACAGATTCCCCAACCACATGTGCAGTACAGGTTGAGATGACCCCTCCCCTTCAAAAAAACCATTTTGGAATGGCCTCCCCCTTCTGTTCTTGTCCAGTCTCCACGCGTTCCCGCTTTCATCCGCCTTTTTGGCTCTGAATTTGTCCCAGGGCGTCCTTACTTTAGTAGCCATGGCTTTTCATCATTGACTGGTATGATGCGGACACA